GATTCACCTATACCAAAAGTCTATGGACTTGTGAGGGAAACCGAAGCACCTGGAGGAAACCCACGCGAACACAGGGAGAACATGCACACACCACACAGAAATGCTAACTGACCCAGCCGAGGCTCGAACCAGCGACATTCTTTCTATGAGGCGACAGCACTTCCTACTGTGCCACTGCATTGCCAGGATTGCATATATATAACGCTCCAGCCTACCTGAGTATTTTTGCTGACATGTCCATCCCTTTATGACCACAGTGTATCCATCTTCTGATGGCTGCTTCCAGCAGGATAATGTGCCATGTCATAAAGAGCAAATCATTTCAGACTCGTTTCTTGAACATGGCACTAGCTATGTTTCCATCCACCTATCTATCCACCTATCCTATACTAGCTATGTTTCCATCTACCTAAAAAAAAAACGGTTGATGGACACACCATGATGCGCGTAAATTTTGAAAATGCACATAAAAAAACGTATGCACAAAACTGAGTAGGATAAATGTTTTATTCGATAAGAATAAACTGCGATGGAAAAACTTTTACCTCCGGCATGTGAAATCCAGCATGTGAAAAGCATTAAAAAAGGTCATGTGATTTTGTTAAAAGAGATCATTTGATGATAAAAATTCGGCGCCAATTAATCAGGAAGTGACGATTTTGTTTACTTCGACTCGTTGGATGGAAACACAGCTTTATTCGCACGTCTGTTATGCAATAATCCAGTTGTGCGCATAAAGTTCATTCATATTTTTGGATGGAAACATAGCTAATGAGTTTACTGTAATCAAATGGCCTCCACAGTCACCAGATATCAATCCAAAAGAGCACCTTTTGGATGTGGTGGAACGGTGTGATTCGCTTTATGGATGTGCAGCCGACAAATCTGCGTGATGCCATCATGTCAATATGAACCAAAATCTCTGAGGAATATTTCCAGAACCTTGTTGAATCTATGCCACGAAGGATTAAGGCAGTTCTGAAAGAAAAAGTGAGCTCAACCTGGTACTGGTAAGGTGTACCTGAAAAAGTGGTTTACCTGATAATGTCTATATATATATATATATATATATATATATATATATAGATAGATAGATAGATAGATAGATAGATAGATAGATAGATAGATAGATAGATAGATAGATAGATAGATAGATAGATAGATAGATAGATAGATAGATAGATAGATAGATAGATAGATAGATAGATAGATAGATGAAGTAGTTTAAAAAAGTATTTGGTCTCTTACTGATTTATTTTTTTTTATTTGCTTGTTTTTCAGACTTTATGATTCAGATCATCAAACAAATTTAAATATTAGTCAAAGATAGCACAAGTAAATGCAGTTTTAAATGAAGGTTTTTATGGGAAAACAAAATCCAAAACTACTTAGCCCTGTGTGGAAAAAGTGTTCACCCCTTTGTAAAAACATAACTCTGGTTTACTACACCTGTGTTCAATTTCTCTAGCCCCACCCAGGCCTAATCACTGCCACACTTGTTCGCAATCGAGCAATAACTTTAATATGACCTGCCTGACAAAGTGAAGTAGACCAAAAGATCCTTAAAAATAAAAATAGACACCACATTTTATATTTAAATTAGTTTGATGTTCTGAAAGTGTGACAAATAAGCAAAAAAAAAAAAAAAATAGAAACCAGTAAGGGGCAAACACTTTTTTTACACCACCTGTTTTCATATATGCCTCTCTGAGCTCAGCCGTATCTCTGGAGCTGTAGCGTTTAGCTGAATGAACACTTGCAGAGTTGAGCTGCAGATTATGCTGGTGAAATATGTGTCCTGCCCTCCTCACGTCCACATCTCCAGAAGGATCTCTGGCCAGGGATGTTTACGGGGGAATGAAGGAAATTATGCGGCTGTGTACTGACTGCAACACTGCATTAAAAGGAAGCAGCTAGCTGGAAACAAGGCTTTCTCTAAATATGTGTGGTATTTTTTTAAAAACATTGATCATTATATATACTGACTCATTTTTCACTTTAATAGAGAAACTATAATGTGTCTCTGCTGGAGGGAGAATGATGTGGATGAGATGATGAGACAGCAGTTTAGTTCTGCAGGTTATGAAGTATTATCTGTTTTGTTATAAGAAATTAATACACCGTAACACCTGGAGGAGGCTGTTTAAGCATTCCCATATACCCATAAATCTCAATTTAAAACAATGTCACAAAGATATCTTGTATTCTACATTAAAATATTCTGTCTATATTAAAATATCTGTCTGTCTGTCCATTCATCCATCCATCTCCCTCCCTCCCTCCCTCCCTCCCTCCATCAATCCATCCATCCATCCATCTATCTGTCTGTCTGTCCATCCATCCATCCATCCATCCATCCATCCATCTTTCTGTCTTTCAATCCATTCATCCATTCGTTCATCTGTCCGTCCTTCCGTCCGCTTGTCCGTCTCTCTATCTATCTATCTATCTATCTATCTATCTATCTATCTATCTATCTATCTATCTATCTATCTATCTATCTATCTATCTATCTATCTATCTATCTATCTATCTATCTATCTATCTATCTATCTATCTATCTATCTATCGCTCCATCCATCCGTCCGTCCGTCCGCCCTGTCTGTCTGTCTGTCTATCTGTTTGTCCATCTGTCTGTCCACTCATCCGTCCATCTCTCTCCATCCATCTCTCCATCTCTCTCCATCCATCTCTCCATCCATCCATCCATCCATCCATCTATTCATCCATCTCTCTCTCTTTCTCTCTCTCTCTGTCCGTCCACCTATCCATCCATCCATCCATCCATCCATCCATCCATCCATCCATCCACCTATCCATCCATCCATCCATCTATCTATCTATCTATCTATCTATCTATCTATCTATCTATCTATCTATCTATCTATCTATCTATCTATCTATCTATCTATCTATCTATCTATCTATCTATCTATCTATCTA